CATGCATGCAAAATGCTCTCAAATACAGCAGCAATGTCAGGTGGACCCATCTCAATTTAAAGCATAGGACTTACAATGGTAGGTGTAAACCCTGAATCTGACATTTGTAAGGTCATGGATGGATAAAGCCACCTCCAGTTCACATGATGCCACTGACAATGGTTTCTGGCACTACAGGCAGACTGGCAGGTTTTTGAAATTATGCTGAGCAGGTGCCCAGCAATGTGACTAATCTCCAAGGTCGTATTGGAATTTAAAAAACACTGGCAATAGCAGAATGTCAACCCTGAATTAAGAGATATTTTCTAGTTGTTCTTTTCCTTTCTCTTTTTCTTATTGAAAGCCAGATTTTAAGGAAACACAGAACACTGGGATCATATTCTTCTAAAAAAAAAGCTCATTAAAGCCAAAACTGTCAGGTCAGCAGGTCATAGGTAAGATACATAGGAAGATGCTCTTCTGCTTGAGGTGAAGAAAGAAAGCTCATTTTATTGTGGTGATTGATATCCAAGGATTTGTTTCTTTGACAGGTTTTATCCATTTATTTATCAGAGGAACCTATAAAAAAATCCAAGATTTTAATTTGCATTTAAAAAATAATGCAACTGAACACTTGCAATGACAAGGCCTTCTGCTTATTTTCCATGCATTTGATGTATTTTTATGCAATTTCTTGCTCTTGTCAGAGAATTTTAAAAATGTCCTAAGTTGCAAAACATTTGTTTGTGGACTGTATCTTAATTTCATAGAACTATGTCAATTTATGGAGGCAGGGATATCTAACTACAGAGAACAAATCTGTAGGATATTGGATAGTAAAGAGGAACACAACACAAATAGATGCTGCACTAGAAATTTATTGATTTAAGAACCCTGTGATACCTTACATTCTCAATTCACGGGACATATTTACTACTCGTATCTAGGGAATAGAAGCCAGAATTCTCATTCTCATGTTTGCTGATAATACAAACGTAAGGGTAGCGACTGATACGCTTACCTAGGGCTGTGCTGCCATGGCAGGAAGTTTGGACTAGATGATCTCCAGAGTTCTCTTCCAGCCCTAATGATTCTGTGTTTCTTAAGCTCCACAGTTACAGTCCACATTATTAGTGGTATTATTGTTATTATTTACCACTCTTTCCTTTATTGTCTGATCCATTTTTTATTTCAAAGGAAAGGCCACTAGGACAGTGGGCCTTAACCTGTGACTTTGGATAATATAATGCCTCAATGTTCATGCTCAAAACAAAACACTAATGCAGAGAAAACAAAGTTGATTGCCCTTTGTTACCCCTTGGTCATGAATCACTGATGTGGGGCATTGCATAGCACATGGTACTGGAGATGAACACATGTCATTACTCACTATTCCCACATTTGATGTCAGATTTACAGATAGGAAATGTGTTCATATAAGCTAAATTCTCTGTGCAATGATATGTGGAAGACATATTTGTACATTATGAAATATGAATAAGTTCATATATCTTTAAAACTTATAATGGCATATTCATGTGCATACTCAGTGCCCTGTTTCATAAACAAAGTGCATGACTCTGGACAGATTTTATTGGCCAAACACAAAATGGCATTTTAAGTGAACTGGGTGAAAATGTGGACATAAGAACAAAGTGGCAAATGCTCTTTTTTGAATACTGGCTGCCTTTTGCTGTGTTCCAAACTAAGCACTTTCGGTCAATGCCATGAAAAATCTTGAACAATTCTGGATCAAAATGAGTAACAAGTCTACAGACTTTCAAAAGATACTGTTCTGCCTTTTGGTTTTCTTCTAAATCACTGAAAGATACTCTCTTACGAGACCTTGAAATAAAGTCCTCATAGTTTTTTATGCCACACCACACAAAGTGTAGCCTTTCTTTGCAGTGCTCTTCCAGTGTAATTCAAGTTTCATGGGTAATTAATTCTCTATGCCAATATGTCCCTGAACTGTATGCTATAATACTAGCTGCATAGAAACAACTAAAGATGCAAGTTTTCAGATTTTATTCCTTGAAAGGTGATTGCAAACTATGTATTTCTGCTCCTGTGGGGGAAAAAAAAAAGTTCATTTTGATTCTTCTGGTTTCAATTATTTACTAACTACAATTTGGTTATCATAGGTATCTTCTATAAGAAAAATATACATTAAAATTCCCAAATTCCCATACAGAAGTTAGAACAGAACTTATTTGGCTAGATTAAAAAAAAAAACAAAAAAAAACCAAAAACAAAAAAACCACAAAAACATTTTCCAGTACCATCTTGATTTCTTAACACAAAAAAATTACAGTTTGCTTCCCCATGTAACTTTGAAAAGGTGTTTTTTAGAATTTCTCCTATTTTTGTCTCTTTGTTAAGACAAATTGCAGTATCTGCAGGAGCACTTACATGCTACCAGCCAGTATCCAGCACAAACATTGCAGCCCTGTCTTCTCTTCCCCATGTAACTTTGAAAAGGTGTTTTTTAGAATTTCTCCTATTTTTGTCTCTTTCTTAAGACAAATTGCAGTATCTGCAGGAGTACTTACATGCTACCAGCCAGAGTATCCAACACAAACATTGCAGCCCTGTCTTCCCTATTAACCCTGTTTTTGATAGTTTTCTTTACTTCATTTCCTTCTAGGACTGGGAAACAGGCTGTAAAAGCACAAGTTGTCAAAGATCACCTTTTAATAAAGATTTGCCATATGCAAAACTGAAAGATGAGCAACAAAACACAGCATTACTGTGCTCTTGTGTAAGAACCATTCAATGAAACTTGGATAATTAATTTAAGATGTATAAATCTGTCCTGATATTTTCCTTTATCCATCAAGAACAAAAATATTAGAGCGGGAAGACAAACTTTCATATTCTTACTCCTAGCAAAGACCTGCCTAAGGTGCCTCAAACATTCTAGAGGAAAGGGATTTTTTTTAAATACTAATACAGACCAGACAGGTTGAAATGAAGAATACTTGTTAATGTCCATTTGGATTAGCATAAATTTTATTAGCACTGAGGTGTAATTGTCAGGAACTTGCAGTTTCATATGGTAGGGGATTATTCAAACACGTTGGTGCCAATGTTTGCTCAGCGCAGTCAAGATGACTGCACTTTCTGGGTCAACATTGTCTGAAAAAGTTTGCTGTACAACTGAGGTAAGAAACTAAACATCGAGTGTCACTTCATATAGTCTTTCGTGCTTTGTGATGTGAGTCAAAGTTTCACTATTTAAAGATCAGACATCTAGAGACATTGTATTTTTGCTTTTGCACCAAGAGCATGTATCTGGTGTCTGTCAGAAGAAAGCTGACTTCCCTGGTATCTCTGGTCTTTGGGGCTCTTGTCAGATTTTATGTGACTTATGAACATAAACATGGAAATGGAACTATTTTTAAAAGTCCGTCCAGGCTAATTACAGACTTCCAGTTACTTATCTGAATGTTGTGTAATCGCTGAAGTAGCATTTGCTGTTCAATGGCAATCCCCTGTATTGACTTTGCAGTGCTGTAATGTTAGCAGAAGGCTGGAGTGTTGGTTGGTGCAGAGACAATGAAAGACAAGATTTCTCTGCCACAGACACTTGGGTTTTCCTTTTAAAGACGTTCACACTCTTCTGGTGTAATTACAGCCTGCCAGAGTGAGGAGTATGAAACTGTTTAACTTGTGAAGCTTAAAATAAAAGGTGTATGTGGAAACAAGAACACGATCCTTTTTCTAGCAGTCCAGCACCAAGCCCCATCCCCTCCCTCTGCTGTGGCTTTTTCCCCTGAAATTTAGAGCATCTCCCTATTAACGCACTTTTAGGTGAGTGATTGGAGGCCCCTTTTGTCTTCTGTGTTGCTCTCATTATTTCTGTTTATTAATCTGTTTGTGGCTCATGTTGCATGTCTGAAGTCTCAGGTGTGGGTGCACAGATCTCGTGATTTATGCTCCAGTCTAATTATATAAGACGCACCCCAGTTCCCATGCGGTCTTCCCCTTGGGCAAACTTCTTGATTGTTCTTGGGCTTGGGTGGTTTTGTGAGGTTTTTTTTTAATTGACCGATATCACCGTACTTTTATCCACAGCCCCAGAATAAAACCAGAAGAAATGTATGTGGCAGGTCAATACCCTGGAGGGAACAGGCATGACTCCGTGCTTTCTTTCCCACCCCCTTCCTTTTTGCCCCCAGATATTCCCTCCCTTCCCTTGTGTTACAGACGGGTTTTGCAGAGCTTCAGTCAGTAATGCCAAAAATGTCAAAGTGTAAGTGGCTACTCCTTCCTCTCCAGACCAATCAGTCATTTTCAATCACTGGTTTAAATGTGCTGCAGCAAAGCCAAGCCTCTGTGCTTGCAGCAGGTCTTACAAAAGCAAGGCTGTTTGACTGACAGGCACGGAGAGGGGGCTCTGATAAGGCACTGAGACAAGTCTGGAAGCGGAGTATGAAGGACGAGGCTGTGGCAGAGGTACTGTGCATTATGGATGAGGTGCTCAGCTCTGTCGTTGATTGATTGAGGGACGGTTGTGCTCTTTCACAATGCTGGGTAAGATCATATGGACCGTCATTTAATATGAGCTTTCTTGTCAGTGGGAAGATGACTTTTCACACAGTGATCCCATGCAGATTGCAAATGACAGCCATGCTCTCCCCTCTTCTTTTTAAGGGTTTAGTCTCTCATGCAGGTGGGTTAACCTAAAACAGTGTTGTTAGTGCTTGCCAGGTGTCATATGCTGGAATTAATGCTTGTTCTCAGAATCTTACTATAAATGTGACTATAAATATTGGAAAAGCAACTGTGTCTGATGATGTGAGATACATGCGCTTTATCCCTTGCAGCCAAGGTGCCATCCAACCCCTGCATAGGTATGGTATTAAATTAAGTAAGGGAGCCATGGAGAATGCAATTTTTTTTCACGCTTTTCTTTCAGGACAGAGAAAGAAGCTGTAACAAACAGTTCTGGAGACTTTGAAGCAACAGCCACAATACTGAGGTCTCTGACTGACAAGCCTTCTGCTTTCTCCTCACAGGGCTCCTCCTACAGATGTTCTGAACACGTCTGCATCCTGGCAATTTTTTACTGCACCCAGGTACTGAATGTAAGGAACCAAGCTGCATAAAAAGAAGCGTGGGGTGTAGGAGAAGGAGCACTGTGAGGAATTTACCAGAAGTCATGTCTATACAAAATGCAGGCATGACTTCAAGCAAAAATTATTTGAGAGAGCATAGTTGCAGAATGACCAAGTTTATTCTTAGAAAATGACAGAATAAAGCTCTCATTCAACAATATGGCTTATAATCATGTTAAATGGTATGTGTCAGGCTTGACTTCCCTAAGTGTCATCCTTTCAATGTATGACTGGAAGTTTATTTATTGCTTGAACAGAATCTCTTTTATTCCCTGCAGAGGTCTTGAAAACTAGAGTTCAGGAGCTTCTGGATCAGCGTTTTCATTGAAATACTGGAACTACTATGAAGCCTTCTTGGTTTGCACTCATGTTGGCAGTGCTCAGTACTGAAATGCTGACAAGTCACTGTTCCACCATCAAGTCCCCGAGGTTCAGAGGACGTGTGCAGCAGGAGCGAAAGAATATCAGACCAAATATCATCCTTGTACTCACAGATGATCAAGATGTGGAGCTAGGTGAGAAATCATTGTTCTTTGTTACTACATTTCACCATGTGTCTTTCAGTAGTTTATGCCAAGCAGAAAGAACTTTAAACGCAGGGAAGTTGATAGTCCTGGAATAGTATCAGAATGTGGGGCAAGTTTGGAAAATGAGTTAACAGTATTATTTAATGGCATTAATCACATTTAATTATAGACTTTAGGAAATATATGCTTATCAAAATCTACCATGGGAAGCTTTAATCAGCACAACAAAATGATTTAATAATGCATGCAAGGACATACGTGTAAAAAACTTGCATCAAAATCCTTTTCTCACTCTATGACTTTTTATAGCATTTAGAAATTGGAGCCTTATGAGGCCAGCATTTCCCTTAGTACTGTATAGGTGTCTGTATCTCCGCATATTTGTCACAGGGATGTATGTTGTCTGACATACTTATCCACACAGACAAACTGGTCCAGTTACAGGATTTAGTAATCTTAATATTTGTATGAATTACTGAAGTGTTTAAAATCCATCTGCTTTAAGAACTATGCTGTATGTATAAAAACATGGTAGTTTTGCTTTCACAAGTATACTAAATATCTGAGTACGTACCAGTCAGAAGTGATTTTCACATATTTTTCTTAGGGTGGAAAAAGTTAAAACACTTAGATGATGTTCCAGGAGGCCTTTGAATGTTTTCCATTAAGTAAGTTAGAAAGATATTAATGGTAGTTATGCATATAACTGATTTTTTGGTTCACTGCCCAAAATGAAAAATCAAGGAGAGAAAGAGGATCATTTTAGGTTACCCCCAAGCAATTATTTTGGGTTGTGAGATCAAAAAGGTGAAAAAAATGGCAAATTAAGTTGAAATGAAATCTTGCATTCTTAGCTTTTTTTTTTTTTTATGAGAGACATCTTTTTAATAGAAGTATAGGGAATTTCTAGACAAAATGCCATATGACATTGAAAAATAAAAAATGCTTCATTCCAGAAAACTTCATTTGTTCTAAAATCACATACTTTCAGACAGAAGATTGTAGACAAAATACAGTCTGTATCTAAAAGCAGTTCTTTGGTTGCTAGCATTTTTGTATTTGCTATGATGCAATAATAATTTTATAGTCCTTCAGGGTTCTGAGGAGATAATTAATAAACTATATTTCATGACTGAGGGTTGCTGCTTTTATGCAGCAGAGCTCCAAACACAGGCCTTTATATCTGAGTGATTCGTATCTTTTTTATTTTTCACTCTTTCAAACCTCTGCTCTGTTTAGCCATGCTGCATAATGAATAGCTGTTCCCAGTTCTATTTTTGGTCTAAAATACAGCTCTTACAATGGGAGTGCATTTCTTCTTGGTGGAATTGTTCTGAAAAATTTTGTTAAAAGGGTCAAGTCTTCGTTTTTGTGGTCTGAAAGAGCCTACTCTCTCCAGGGCACTCAGGGCACTGGGGAAGGTAGGTAGGTCAGCAGACACACATCTCTGAACACAGTGTCACCAACTTGCTGTCCTCAGTCTTGCGAGAAGGTTTGCGAGTGGTGGAAAAGGAGGAAGGATGTGGGGAGTCACTTTGTTCATACTGCGGAGCTCTTCTCTTTGAAAGCGGCTCTGAATGTTCACAGGGCATTCTGGCTCCTATTAGCAGGCAGCTGAGCAATAGCCTGGGTGTGTGTGCATTCCCTCTGCCTTGAATGAACACACAGGTTTCCCCTTTTCATAGATCATCTCACAGGAAACAGCATTCAGCCCCAAGATTTACTGTACTGCATTATTCGCACTTCTGCTAATAAATCATTGTGCTTATTTGAAAAATAAAGCCAAACTGTTTTCCATGTGTGAATTTTCCTCTTGCTCTTCATCGATTCCTGAGAAAAGTTTTAACTTTCTCAAAGGTCAGTGGCAAGCAGCACTTTCTGCCACAAACAGAATAAAACTTAGGCATTGGTATCCAAAAATCACAAGACTGAAAGTCGCTGAATATGGATTATTTGCTATTGTATTCCCAGCACAGACATTTCTAAAAGCTATTCTGAATGAATGCTTTAACATAAAAGCATATAAGGTGCATTATAGACTTCAATAAGGAACGATTTGTCTCCAGAGCTTGTATAATCATTGAACCAAAATATTCATCTGACGAGTGCAACTGATATATAGAGGAGTCATCCAAAGTAAAATTTGCAAGAGGCAGGGAGTTAGCATTCAGTTCGTGCTCAAGCCATAGAGGTATGCACATCTTCCTATTGATCTGCACCATCCCCCTGAGTTTTGCATTTTGAGTGCAAAGATATTCAGCAGAGATGCTGTCTCATTCATTTTGTTAGATAAAACCAACAAATTGCCCCACAATTCTAGCCACTTCCTATCTATGCAAGGAGGAAAGATATTCTAGATCAGCTGGTGGATTGCAGCTTAAGCTGTGTGAAGCAGCCTGGCCCACACCTCTTGAAGGAACTCAGCAAATACTTGGACTCAAAATGTATTTTACTTCTTAAATTGTTCCACTGTGCACTGCCTTTACCCTACCGTGAAGGAACTCAGCAAATACTTGGACTCAAAATGTATTTTACTTAAATTTTTCCACTGTGCACTGCCTTTACCCTACCTAGATCCTGAGGGTAGAGGACTCAAGAAGAGGCATCTTGCTCAAGGCAAAGCTCCCGGAACCCAGAACTTCTTCCCTACTGCAAACAGCATGCTGTGGCTCTTCAGGGCAGTGGCCCCAGCTCCCTCGGGGGTCAGGCCCATATCCTCTTCAGTCCAGCATTTTGCTTGCTTTTTGGTCTCTTCCCCTGTCCTCCTAATTCTCTATTATTTGTACACATCAGTACCTCCAAATATGACACCCCAATCTCTCTTGTAGTCCTCACTATAAAAATATCTTGCATAATGTCAGATAGGTGTAAAAACTAATGAGTATGTGGGTAGTTTCAGTGGCTTTGACCCATTTTTACAGCCTAATACTCCCAGTGAAATCTGTATAAATCAGCTACTGAACAGAGCACTGGGTAAAGAGATCACAGCATCATCTAAATACATCATATCGGGCATAATTTGCCTGGTGTGATTTCTATCTTCTCTAGAATTAGAGCACTAAAAAACATAAACTGAAAAAATGGGGGTATGTGCTAAGATCTGAAAAAGTCCATTACCTTCCTGGGGCCTTGCACAGAACCCCTATAAAGACAGGGTGGCTCCTAGGTGTCCCTTTGTAGAGATGCCCACCCGTGATGAAAATCAATAGCAACTTTAAAGACTTGATACCTTGGTTGCCAAACATATCTCTTGAGGTATGAGAATAGACTGAGAAGTGACACTGAACTTCTTGTCTGACAAAACTAACTAACTTCTTTGTCCAAAGTGGCCATTCCCAGCTATCTGGTTGCCCTCAGGTGCTCCCCAACCAGCCATGTAGAGCGAGAGTGTCCTGCTGACAGACAGTGCCTGAATACTTGTGCCCTGAAGACTGTGGGCCAGATGGTAAAAAACACAAGCTGTGAGGAGAGCCACAGACAGCAAAGGATTATAACTTATATCAGCAAGTTTTATCTCCTGCTTGTGTTTTGTTTTCCAAATGAGGAAGTCTCACCTGCTTTGAAGTGCCTGTTCCAGAATTTCCAGAGGGGCTTAATCTATTATCAGTGTCAGTAAGTGCATACCTGGAGGGAAAACTTAGTCATAAACAGCAGGTTTGCAAGAGCAGAGGGCTGACCAGCTGGAGGAATGAGGAAGCACTCTAACAGCTACTCATTTATAATACATGGAGGCAGGAAAGTGCAGATCAGCTCTGCTGCAGTTACTGTGCATTAGGGTACCTGAATAGCCCACTTTCTATCGGAGCACCTCACAGCACTTTACAGCTGAGTTCTCAGGAAAAAACTGTGACTTTTCAAAAATGGAAGAGCTCTGGTGAAAACAAAACAGAACAAAACAAAACAAAAACTAAAAAGTCAGCCTGAGGTCCAAGATAAAAGCATGTAGAATGAGAATGATCTCTCATTTGTCTTTTACTTAACGATTCAGTGAAATGCTCCTACTCATGTAAATGGAGACCTTTTGTGTTCAGGGACCTCTCAGTTACTCTTCTTCTTTTCTATATCCCTAAGCACAGGGGGTTCAGAAAAGCACAAATGTGGATATTCCTCATTTAGAAAATAAGGGCTATGAAAGACAAAGAGTCCAAAGTGATGGTGACTTTCCTACACAGTATTAAATGTATCCTTAAGGACAGAGACCCTGGCATTTTAAATTAAATGCTGAAGACCCTACTGCCTCTTCCCTTTTTAACATTTTTTTTTACACAAAAGTCTTCATATTCGTCATTGACTCGTTAGCCTAAAACCAAAGCAGAGCATTAACTAGAAGATAACTTTTAAGATTTTACTGCTAACATCTAAAGTTGAGTCTCCTTGGGAGGTTTATGGTTTTGCAGGCAGGTTTGCAATTGCTTTGGAACTTTTTTTGATTTGATTTTCAAGCAACATAAAACATAAAGAAAAATTATTGTTGTATCAGAGGAATTAACAGATTTAAATGTAAAGGACAGTCAACTCTGCAAAAAACCAAAGAAAAGAAAATTCCAAAAACCTTTTTTTACCATGAACATTGTGCTAGTGCTGCAATTCACAAAATTGTTTCCTAGGCACATACTGACATATCCACAGTTCACCCCCACCCTTCAATCTCTGCTCTGTTGGATAACATAAAGAACAATCTTTGACAGCTGTCAGCAAATACTGACACACTCTATCCAGGGCTGCTCAGCCTTTCTGCAATCAGAAATCTGCAAGCTCTGCCTCTCTCACCCTGCAGTTCATGAAGATGCTTTGAAGGATCAAAAAATCTTTAAACAGTTCAGTTCTTTAAACAGTATCAGTGCAATTTCTGAAATCTGCAAGCTCTGCCTCTCTCACCCTGCAGTTCATGAAGATGCTTTGAAGGATCAAAAAATCTTTGTTCTTTAAACAGTATCAGTGCAATTTCATGAGAAATATGCTGTATTTTTGCATACAATTTTACATGATACATTATTTTGAGCACAGTGCTTTAGTATCAGAACCAGACATCCTGATCTTGTGTCCACAGAAACTTTCATTTAGAAAAATTGCTACTGAATTCTCTCCTTCCTTCTTCTGTCCCTCACTCCCTCCTTTACTCCCTTCCTATCTCTATTTCTCTTTCTTCTGTCATCTGATGAAATGGAAAGAATATTAACATTTTCATTGGTAATCTCAGTATTTTACATATTTTACTATCTCTATTTCCTATCTCTATTTCTCTTTCTTCTGTCATCTGATGAAATGGAAAGAATATTAACATTTTCATTGGTAATCTCAGTATTTTACATATTTTACTGGCATATTGAGTAATAATTCAGTCTGTGTAGCATACTGCTTTTCTACAGCTGCATTTGGAGAACTATTCACCTATAAATTTGATACAGATTTGACACTATTTCTAGATCAGTCCATATTTTAACTTTGTTTTGAGGTCTAAAAAAAAATAAAAAAATCTGTCTTTCTGGAATCTTTAAAAGTATTTTTGCTTGTATAGTAAAAATGTGATCTTTTCCCCTAAAATTACCAAAGCTGTGGAGTGAAGCACACTGAGGCAAGCTAATCACTGACACTTTACTTTTAACAGCATAATAGCAGCCAATATATTCAAACTATCTTTTACAGCACGGTGGTGATCAGTACCTCTTATTGCAGGGTCCTTGCAAGTGATGAATAAAACCAGGAGGATTATGGAGAATGGAGGGGCCTCTTTCATCAATGCCTTTGTAACTACCCCCATGTGCTGCCCGTCTCGTTCCTCGATGCTGACTGGGAAGTATGTGCACAACCACAACATTTACACCAACAACGAAAACTGCTCTTCTCCCTCGTGGCAGGCTACTCACGAGCCTCGCACCTTCGCTGTGTACCTCAACAACACTGGGTACAGAACAGGTAAGAGACAAAGCAAAGTTCTTCCTTTAAAGTGAAGATGGCATATTCAGCAATCACTCTTAAGGCACTGCCTGAAATGATTTCCTGTTCTTGGCTGTTCATTTCCTTCCTAGTAGATGCTGTAGTGTAGTGTTTTGGATTTAGCTGAGAATAATCTTGATAACACAGCAATGTTTTTAGTTTTTGGTAAGTAGTGCAAATACTAAGTCAAAACTTTTCAGTGTCTCATGCCATGACAGCAAGAAAGCTGGAGGGGAACAAGAATTTGGAAGGGGACACAGCTGGAACAGCTGATCTAAACCAGCCAGTGGGATATTCCATACCATAAGGCATCATGCTCAATACACAAACTGGGGTGCTGCTTAGAAACTGGTTGGGTTTTGGTAAATGAGTGGTGAACAGTTCTATTGTGTATTACTTGGGGGTTTGGGAGTTTTTTGTGGGGTTTATTTCTCTCTCTTTTTTTTTTCTCCTATTATTATTATTATTATTATTATTATTATTATCATTATCATTATCATTATCATTATTATCATCATTATTATCATCACTATTATTATTACATTTCATTTAAGTTGGTAAACTGTTCTTATCTCAAGCCACAGATTTTACCTCCTTTCCTATTCTCCTCCCCATCCCGCTGTGGCAGGGGGTGGGGGGTGGGAGAACAACTGAGTGGTACTTAGTTGCTAACTGGAGTTAAACCACAACAGCAGCAACTGTTGTCCCAAGCTGGCTGTGCAGGGCAGAGGTTGAATATTATGGAGAGGGAGGGTAGTACTGCCTGCTGGCCACATCTGCAGTAGCAGCCAGGTAAAGAAAACCACTGGTAGTAAAGCAGCATATTTTCACATTTGGATGTCCCAGGTGGGAAATAAGCTGTTGGGCAGTTACACCTACAGTGAAAGAGGTGCATTTTAGTGGCATTGTGGGTCTGAACTGGCAGTTCCAGGCGTGATTATGGTCAGTATTACGTCCTGCTTGTGGACAGCTGCTAGCAGTTATGGAAGAAGATGTCAGGGCCAGGCTGGGAACTGGTGCCAAAGACCTCACAGGAGTGGAGGGACTGTCATGGGAGCAAAACAAGGTGAATGGTATAATTTAAATTTTGCCATGGGGTGATATTTCATTTGCATTTTCTGAAAAGGAGTAGAAACTTGCCTTTAAGAAGGATTGTTCTACTGTGCACCAATAAGATTTGATAGTTTTCTTGTAAATTCCTGGTGGTTTTCCGTAGTCAGGAGATCCCTTTCCTGTCTACAAAGAACTCTTCTTATTCCTCTCGTCTGTGCTTTGGCTTGATGTAAAACTCAATTCATTTCTGCATCACCTATCCCCAAAGATTGAATCTGTAGACACATTAGGCTCCAGCCTGACTTCCCCTCCTCAAGGTACGGAGTTGTGCGAGGTTGTCAGAGTGCAATTTGTCCAGAAGTGTCATTCAGCTACAAAGACTCCCCTTTACAGAGCAAGGAGGCACAGATCTCCTGCCAACTGCCTTCCTTACAATGTAACTGGCAGCAAAGAAACTTGTTTCTAGCAGCAGCTTAGGCACAAGAAGGGATTGCTTTCAAAACATAGAGCTGGCAATTGTCTCCATACTGTCTGCTAGTCCTAAATCTCTTAAAGCTGCTGCATCCAGTGCCTCAAGTTTATCTGCCTCTGTTCTATCTTTACCACACAGACAGTTCACTCTTTTTTCTTCTGTCTCTCTGCATCTCTAGTTCTGGAGAACTTCTGCTTCCTGTATTGAAAACAAAACCAGACATATCTTTAATTTTTGGGGGCTTGGTGTTGGCTCTGACACATGAGCTGAATAGTACTTCACTCAATTAAGCTGGTCTCAGTGAAGTTGCCATCTGAGTACAGCACTGCTAAGCCTGGGTAGGGGTCAGCATCAAGGCTTTGGAGGAGAAAAGGAAGGAAGAGCAAACTGACCATCACTGTTAGAAAAGGTGCTGAATTTGACATAAAATATAAGCTTTATCTCCTGACTTACATCTCAGAAATCCTTTCTGCTTAATGTATGGCTGCTTCATGTGGGACCTGGCTTTAGTGTTCCTCAAAAATCTGTATCTTCTTGGTTTGTCATCTATGTTTTGCACAACTAAATGCTTCACACATAAACAGGACATCTCTGTCACTAGCCCTTTCTGCCCCTCTGAGGGTAAACAGCTTTGAGCATATCTTCTGCACTGCCTTGTGTTATGAAGACATGTGGAGATGCTTACTAAATGCAGACTTGACCCTATTGCATAGAAAGGAAAAAGGGGTCAAAAGGAGAGGAATAGGAAAAAAGTACTTTTTCAAAGGCAGGCAAACAGAACATCAGTCCTAAAACTGTCAGGATAGGTGAGTTTTAACAAAGGGCAGAAAAGAGTAGAAAAGGAAAACAAATGGAAACATCTGCATGAATCTCCAATTCTGACGGAGGTACATTGTTCAATCCTACAATATTATGGCTGCAAAGATTTATCTTTTTACTGCTTGTAAGATGATCCTACCTTCTAATGAAGCCACAATTATTTTTTGAGGTGGTAGCTTAATTAACAGCAGATCTTATAAGTTTCTCAAAGATAGTGTTGCCTTATTAAAAAGTCACCAAAAGTCTGCCAGCCAAGTAATAATCTACACTTCACAGCTAGAAAGTTTAGTAAAATTATAATGACTCAAAAATACCTGGGAGTCAAGAATAATTGAGAGTGAAAATGAGGAAACTGTGGAGAGAGATTGCGGATGCTATAGATACTTACCCTGTGAATTTCTACATGTTTTGACAGTAAATCAGTAACCTCCTCAATGGGAAACTGAGACACACAAAGAGAAGTGAATGACTCAGGCCAGTCACAGTTTGGTGACAGTCCTGATAAGGCACCTGACCAGAGAGCTCCAGTCTGGATGAGACAATGTACAATACCTCCAACCTGCTACTCTTTAATAATGAGAATTTATGCATTTTTTGCATAAGATCAAATTAATACATGTCAATGGCAATACAGGGGAAGGAGAGTGTTTCTATAATGTCCTCACATCTGTTTGCTCCAAACAGTTTTCGATATCTATAAAGCATCCATTGTCTAAACCTGCAGCAGCCCTTACTAAGCCCCCTCTATTGCAATTGATCACATGTGGGCAGACTGTTATGAGGGGAGTTCTGCTGAAGCCACGAGGACTCCACACAAGCACAGCAGGCCTTTTAAAGTGTGGTCTGAAACGTGCTCTAATAAACTGCGGTTATAATTAGAGCCCACTGGGGAAACCTGGCAAAGGACAGAATGGTTTTTTCTTGCCTTTTGCTATTTTATTCTTCTACTCTGATGTGACCTAAGGGCAACGTTGCATCTCATGGAAACATCCCTTTTTGAAGATTGTATGTCAGTGCTAAATCATAGGCAGACACCGTGCTGGACACTAGCAAGGCAGGCAGCATTCAGAAACAATACTGGGCAGTAGCAGGGCGGACAATATTCAGAAACAACACTGCCAAACCAAAACCACCTTTGCTTCTAATTATAAGTTGCCAAAACTATTAAGGATGTTTCAGTGTTTACAGTTTCTCGTATTCACAAGCTGTATGTTAGTGGAGCAATGAACCAATGGCACAACTTCTTGATTGTCCACAAAAATGGTAATATTAAATTTGAATTTGTATGACATAGCAGGGAAAGCACACAGTAAAGAGGTAGAAAGAGAAAACAAAGCAGCTCTGGAGAGTTTCAGTGATGACATTTGTTTTAATTACATAGGATCCAAGCAGTCACACTACAGAGGAGAAAGGGTCCCTCACTTTAAAATTTTTTTGAAATTGTGAGAAATTCTTGAGAAGTTTTCTTTCATCTCATAGTTTTTAATGTCAGTAGATATTCCTTCAGCTATTTAGATTTAGAAGTTTAATTCATAAATTTATTAACAGTAGGAGTTAGATATTTTGCTTTGTGCTTTCCAAAGTATTGGCTGGTCATTTGCTGTTCTTTCAGTCTCATAATTTATCTTCTACTGCTCTGTCCCAGCCCTACTGCACGTAGTCTTGCCTCTCAGATGTGCCCTTTGCTGTTGCTGGTTCCCTTTCCCATTCACCTACACAAACACAAAGGAAAACCCCAGAAGTGCAACCTTGCCTTCATTAGTACGAAAGGGGGATTGTGCTACATCTCAATAATTGAGCAGCAGCCAAGCATAATCTTGGTATTTTAGAAGACAAACCATCACATGAGAACAGCCAACATAATATAAACATTTTCTTTTTAAGTAGTGGGTCATACTTTGCATACTGCATGATTTTACATTTTTACCAGATGAAGTTTCATCCCTTTGCAAACATGAAAAGAAGTATAAGTTTAAAATTCTTACCCTGACTTAGCACACCTACGCACTCTAAACCCTCTCTGCTTAATGTTACTTTGTAGAATTACTACTCTCTAATCCTCTCTCCTCTTAGCCCTTCACAGCCAGTGCAGGAGGGAGCAGGACTCTGCCTTGGCTCAGCAGCTGCTGACAGTCTCATAGCACCATGCCAAACACAGGACCAGGCTCTCCCTTCATGGAATCCCACCTGAAAGTACAGAGACCACCAAATTAGGCAATTATTTTCTGGAATTGTCTTTGGGAAGATGTATTTCCCAGTATTTTATTTCTTGCCCAGATGTATCAACTGATTAGAATAACATTCAAGATTCATGCATGGGAATGTTCTGATGTTACTTGTGGGACAAAAATGGTAACATGCGAAGTTAAGCAGCTCAAATGTTAATTCCTAAATGGCTTCATTTGTAAAACTCCAGACTCAAGAAGTGACACCAAGATGCCCCTGTCTGGCATGTTTTGACATTAGTCACAGAGTTCTGTGCAGTGATGAACAGAAATGGTCACTTGGTTGACAACTGGCTAATGTGTTCAACAGCACATGTCAGTGTGCCCATTGACATCTGTCACTTATGGGTACATTTCTTAGTGTAATGAACAAAGAACTAATAAAGCACTGAGATGACAGGAAGCTGAAA